GCCTTTTGAAGGTATCTCACACCTGACACTTAGGAGAATTATGATTGGACTGTAACTGTGATGCCAAGGGATGGGGAATGGGTTATTCTATATATCAATCCCTTCCGTGCCTAAATAATCGCTTCACTATGCCTTTAATCATTTATAATTAGTAAAAGTACACTTGATTTCTACCTATGGAGTCTCGTGGTCTTCTTTCCTAATTACCCAATGAAGAGGTGCTGACAATTTGTTGACTGTTTCTGGTGTCCCCAATCTAAGAGTATTGACAAAGGTACTAGTTCTTAAGTGTCAAAAGTGCCTGAAGGAGAATTTGAAACTTTTGACCTAAATCACAAAATGCAAATGATTAATAATAAATAATTGCTTCCTTGCTACTAGAATCAGCATGGAAGAGTATATATATTGTGCTGTGCCATAACAGAATGCAGAAGTGCCTTAACATTCCCTTCCCTGGCAAAGCAGCTTCAACAATTCTTATAACTTAATTCATTTTTGCTTACCACCATCCCTATGTTGTTCTGTTGTCCACCAGGTGCCATTTCCACACACTCATCTATCACCAAATTCATGAATGGGTCAAAACCTCGTAATATTCCTTGAACATGTCGACCTCCATTTAGTTTTACTGAAAAGAACAGACAGAGATACAGGAAAATGGATATAGGGAGACTAAACCATTAATGAATTATGTAAAGCAATACAAAATTAATGAAACATTTAGAGCATAAAAGACCAATATTTGGACAAGTGATGAAACAGATTCAACAAACAGAGGAAATAAGGGAAAGTGATCCCATTGTAGGAAATTCATTTACACAAGGTAACCAGGCAAGAAATAAATTGTATAGTTTTTTCCTTGCAAAACAGAATCTTTAACATAATCAGTTCACTTACATGATAGCTTCTTGTCCATAAACCTGAAAAATTCAAAAGAGAAGAAATAAGCCTCATGCAAGTCAAGTTCATAATAAAGAAAAATTAACTGGTTTTATCTCAATAAAGGCAGGTTCACAGCCTTTAAAAAAGATAATGCACCTGCTAGCCTCACAAGGCTGTTTTAGGGCTGCTGTTTTGACCTGCTGTTTGGGGTAAGGCTATGACTTTTCTCTTTCAACTTCACGCTGCTTTAATTATGTAGTTGAAAGCCTCTCTCCATGTTGGGCAGCAATGAGACACAAATCAAGAGGTTCATTGTCAACGGGGAAAGGTTGCACTCATACCCCATTTTCTTAAACCAGTGTTTCTTAAACATCTTCTCTCACAGGACCCCATCCCACTTTGAAAAGTTTGCATGAATTATATTTATCAATATTTATTGTATTAAAAATTAAAATTGATGGATCCACCACTTCTCGCAATTATTTGATGGAATTTTAATATTGTATTACATTTTAAAATAGACTGGCAAATAATTTTGATTTCTTAGTACCCCTCAGAGTGTCTTGAAGGGCACCAAGCTGTCCTAGGACCACCGTATTAAACAATTTTACAAAGCTTCTGTCATTTCTCTTCGCAACCTGGCCTTGTATGTATCCATTTCCTGACTGAGGAATGGGAAATTCCAAAGTTTTGAGCGCATGGAGGTGCAAGAAAAGTAAATGCACAGACACACCAGGAAGTTCCTCTCAGGAAAGATTGTCCCTTTCCAAGAACAGGAACAAATGTGCAGCTTCTTTTAGACTCAAGGCCCCGAAGAAGAGTTTTACCAATGGATATATAGATGGGTTGTTTTGTGGGATTTGGCTGGGAGATTTATATATTTTATGTTGGACTGAATTGTAGTCTTTTCTATCAATCATATTTATTTATACAGGGTGTGATTGACCAGTGAATAAAAAGAAATCACAAAAAATCAGCAGTTAAGAACATTATTACTACTAGTAGTAGAGTTAGTTTTTGTAGGCAATACAGCCATCTCACTAATTCACCACTTCCTTGAGCTTTTAACAATTGTTTTCTATTGTTTTTCCCTCATTTTTATATTACATCGTTCTTTTTTGTTGTATTTATATTTGGTTTAATAAAGTTTGTAAGTTGTCCGGTTGTGGAAAAAATATATGTGGTCCCAAGCATTCAAAAACTATTTGATGGCACATAATCAATCAGGAACAAAAGATGGATAGTTTACGGACCAGTATAAAAAATAGAAAGAGGGACACCTAAACTAAGGCAGAATAATAGCAAATAGCCTGAATCTGCAAAGACGAAGTCAGAAAAGCTGAGGCTCAGGATGAACTAAAACTTGCAACAAATGTCAAAAGTAACAAAAAAAGTTTTTTCCAAATGTAAAAAACAAGAAGTCAAGGAAATGACTGTTCCACTAATGAGAGAAGATGGCATGCAAGCGATGGGTAGGAGGGAGAAATCAGAATGGCTTAATTCATTCTTTGCATCTGTTTTTACATAAAAGGGAAAATTAATCCAACCTAACAAAAGCAATATTGTAAAAGACAGATTAAGAATACAAGTCAAAATAGACAAGAAAATAATGGTAAGACAACATCTATCTATGATAGATTAGATTAAATCAAATCAAGAGGACCAGATGAATTTCATTCCAGGATTCCAAAGGATTGGCAGATGTGATCTCAGAACCTCTGAACCACATTTTTCAAAAATCCTGGAGCACTAGGGAACTAAGAGGATAGCAGAAGAGCAGATGTAGTTAAAAATGAGAAAAAGGGACCCAGAAAATTACAGACCAATCAACCTGCCATCAATATCTTCAAAGATCCTGAAAAAGATAAAGTAAGGGATCTGCAAATACCTAGAAACATACTAATCTATTATTGGAAGCCAACATGGGTTTATCAAGCACAAATCATGCCAGACAAATCTCATTGCATTCGTTGACAAAGTAATTAAATTAGTGCATCAGGGATAAGCTGTGAACATAGAATACCTGGACTTCAGTAAGGCATTTGACAAATGGCAAGAGACAACAATTTGGGATAGACAGCATCACCACCAGATGGATTCATAAATGGCTTACTGACTGCACTCAATGCATATTTCTCAACATAACTACATTGACATAGAAGGAAACATGCAGTGAGGCACCCCAAGATTCTTTCTTAGGACAACCTCTTCATAAGCAATTTAGATGAGGGGATATTAGGGGAAATCATCAAATTTGCAGATGACACTTAGAAGATAGGCTCAAGAACCAGATTTGAACACTGAACCCTATCCAACAAAATACAATCCAGAGGTGAGAAAAGAAAACCCTAATGCACAGGTACAAAATGAGTTCAAAATGAGCAGTAATTGTGGAAGGATCTTGCTGTCCTAGTGGGCAACCACTGTATATGAGCCAGCCATGTGCTGCAACTGCCAAAAACGTGAGTGCAGTTCAGGGCTGCATCAAGATCACATGAAGTGATCCTATTGCTTTATGAGTTCTTAGTGAGGCCACACTTGGGACCCTGAGACCACTTCTGGTTACCACACACAAAAGATGTTGCATCTCTCTAGAAAGAGTGCAGAGAACAGCAACGAAGATGACTGTGTGACAGTCAAAGTGAAGAGGGAGCAAACTATCCCCCAAAGCACCTGAAGGCTGAACAAGAAGCAACGGATGGAAAACAATCAAGGAGAGAAGCAACCTGGACTTAAGAAAAAACTTCCTGAACCAGCGGAACTGCTTGCCACCAGGAGTTGTGGGTGTTCCATCACTGAAGGCTTTTAAGAGACTGGGCAGCCACTTGTCTGAAACGGAATGGGGTCTCCTGCTTGAGCATTGGGGCTGGACTAGAAGACCTCTAAGGACCCTTCCAACTCGGCTGTTCTGAAGAATCCATCAACTGGGGGAAGGAGCGTCTCTTGACGAACAGGTTTAAAAAGGCCGACAAGGAAAGCCGCCCAGCCCCAGCCAAGACCGCCCTCTGCAGCAGGAGACCCCCCGCGAGGCCTTTCTGCACCAGGAAGGGGGGAGGGAATGCCCACTTTCCTACCCCTCCCAGGCCGAGAGGCTCCAGCGCTTGTGGGGCTGAAGCGAATGGGGAGGGGACCGTGGTGGGTGGGGCTTGGCTGTTGGTGAGCCAGAACTCCCGCAGGCGCAGAAGGGAAGGGGCACGTGGGTCGAGGAAGGCACTTCTAAGGAAGTGGCTCTATGGCCACACGCCGCGCAATGCATGACGGGCCGAAGAGGGGCCTGAGGGGGTGCTCCCGCCGCCCGTTAGGTCCTTCCGCTCGCTTCTCCGGCCGCCGCGCCCCCGACCCGCGGCGCCTCCGAACGGCGCGCCCCAGCGCTACCCCGCGCCGCGCACTCACTTCTTCAGCTCCGGCGGGTGCGCTTTGCTCATCCTGCCTCTTCCAAGACGACCGCCTGGCGAAGCGTCTACAGGTCTCCGCTGCGGTGGGACGTCACCACGGCGCGCACTTAACTGCCCAATCACCAGGCGCCTCGAGCGCAGGCGCAACAGCAAAGGACGGCCGAACTGACTAACTCGGAGTCCGCCCAAAGGCTCGCGAAAGGCGGGGCCATCCGGCCCTAGCCACCAATCCCCGAGCTCTCCGCTTTCTTTTTAAGTCGCACACTGGCGCTCGCGTCTCCCGCGCCACGTGCCTCCGCGAATTCCTCTTTGCTGGCCCGTATTCTTCCGCAGCGGCGCTCTCAGTCCTCAGCAGATGCTGGGTGGTTGCCGTTTCTCTGCTAGGCTGCCGGGAGAGAAAGGGCCGCTGCCAGCGAGGGAGGCCGGTTGCAACGCCCCTCCCGGCATGTTGGACCTTCTCCCCCCACCCCCAACTTGAAAACTTGTAAGACTTGTGGACTTCAATTCCCAGAATTCCTCAGCCAGCTGGCTGGGGAATTCTGGGAATTGAAATCCACAAGTCTTAAAGTTCCCAAGTTTGGACATCCTTGGTGTAGTTCCAAGCACTAGAGGCTCCCCTGGCAGTTTCCCCTCCTGATGTCTCTTGGACTCCTCTGGGGGAGAGGAGAGCAGGCAGAGCCAGGTGGCTCTCCTGGAGACCTTTTCCAAGCAGGACTACCTTTCCCTCCTCTTGAAGGGGCCAGAAAGGACCTCCAGTTACCCTTTTGAGAAGCAAAGGCCCGCGACTCTCCTCCACTAGAGTATTCAGGATGGGAAAACCAAACAGGACTGGTCTCCCATTAGGAGGAAAGAACAAACATTGGCTGGCTTCACTCAGGCTGCTGAACTAAGCTAAAATGGCATCAATTCAGGCAGGTCACTTGCCCCTTCCACAAATCCAAAATAAATTATTTCTCTACACAATGACAGACAAAAAACAACAACATTGTGGCAAAAGAAATGGACTGAAACACTTAAGACCCAATGGAGGAGTTGCATGTTGGACGGAGGTTGCTACTGAATTGATGGTAGATTCCACTCCCATCCCCTTGCTTTGTTCTTCACCCATCCATCTTTTTTATAATAATGATGTATTTTTATTTTTCAATGTTTCAAATTTTTATTTTACATGTATGTACATACCCAATCAGATTATGATGTATTCATTCAACTGTTTGCTGTACTAAGTCTGTTGTGATTAGCCTAACTATCGGTATATAAATAGCCCTTCTTTAGGCTAGCCTCGGCTACCTCCAATACCATAGTAAATAATTAGTGCTTTAACAAAAAAAAATGTATCTCAGACATATTCAAGAAGTTTCTTCAGCACTAGGTTACAATCCACTAAAAAGAGGTGACAATCTAGGCAATCCTGGCTGATCCCCAGAAAGGATCAGACCAGGCTAGTACCTCAATGGAGGCGGCTGCAGAGCCCTGGTTGAAAAATATCCTGGAAGCCGTGGCAAGTCACTTCCTGCCCTAACAGCTGTGCAAGGGAATGACTTGGAAGACACTGGACACTGTGAGGTCTTCCAACATCGTGGCAATTGAATTCATTTTATATTAATCTAGAAATTGCTGAAATCAGAATGCAGCCCATAGAAAATTCAGGCAACAAGGGTTTAATCATTTAAAGTGTATTTAATCACATCTTTAGAAAATAATTTATATTCAAAGAGATGGAAAAAACAGGGATGGCCATTTTTTCTTTAAATCAACATTGGGATCTTAAGCTGGCTGCTGATCAATATTTTTCCAATGTAAGTAATATTTTCTATTTTACTAACAAGATACAAGATTCCCAAGCAGCAACCCCAATATCCAAAGGTTCTGTGGATTATGGATCCACTGTGGATTGGAGCAGTGCACAATTGTCCAAGTCTAGGCAATCTGCACAGTACTTAAGACAAAAGCAATGCAACCCTGACTCAGGGAATTCTCTTGACTTTCCAGAGATCACTGCAGATAAATGGGGCCAGAGAAATGGGATGTGCATTAAATAAACATGTTCTGCACAAACAGAACATTTACCTTTTGTGCCTGTGAAGCATTTAGGCATATTTTTATCTTTCTGAAATACAGATCACTATAAGTTTAGTGGAGTCACCAGCATTCCCTGGTTTTTGAAGTCTCTGGGGAGGAAATTCAATTTCTTCCCCAAATCCAGCCAAGTTTCTTTTCCATTCAGCCAGAGCTGAGCTACCACTTGACTCTACAGCCAGGAGCAAAGAACTAAACGCAGAGTAGTAACAGGCAGAGCTCAAGTAATGGAATGCTGGAGCCTTAAGGTGTGTGCCATGACCATCCCTGTGTCAGAAAATTGACTTGGGTGAGAGAAACCGATCAGAAAATCCCTGCGTTAATATTGCAGCTCTATTTCCACATCTAACTTTTCTGCCCCTTCACAATCAGTGGGACTATTCTAGGTCACAAAGCCTTAAGCACCATGACAATTCACTCCATTAAACTGTGGAATAATCACTTTTGTCAATCACTCACCAGCATTTCCTTTCCTCTCATATATGCACTACCCCTATTTATTCTGCCCTCACATCCAGCAATGAAGAGAGGGGACCATTCTTTCCAGCTCACTTTTCCAAGCAAGAAACCCTAACGGTGCCCTGAGAATAGCCAATAAGGTTACTCGGCCAAATACAGAAATTCTCCATATCGAAATGAACACAGACCAAAGGCAAATAATGTGAAACTCTACTAGATTTTAAAAATTTAATAAACATTTGTTTGGGAGTGACTAAAAAGGCCTCACAGATTTTGACAGCAAAGTTCACATTTTGATGTGGCATTTTTAAACCGCCTTACAATCTTCATTTCTGACTCACTCGGCAAACTTAAGCAGTACAGCTTTCCAGATTCCGATGGCTCCTTTCCTGCTTGAATCTCTCGTCTTGAGTGGGTGGCAAAACATGCCAGCCGCCAGTGACAAAACCTCTGCTTAGATCTCGCCCAGACTTGGATACGCACACAAGTGCATGTTCCCCTACTCAGGAAGTATTAAGACGCACAAATCCATATCTGCTGCCTAGACAAAGAAAAAAAAACCTGTCTGATTTGGATGAAAGCACAAATAGAAGCTCCCAGCAGCTTTGGGGAATTCAAAAGGTTTAATATTGTACCTTCTGTCACTCAATTACATCACAAGACCCAGAGCAAACCTCTCTCTTTGAGCAGGATTTTAGGAATAGCCATTTTGTGTCTTTATAGAGCACCTGTGGTATTAATTTGAACCGGCCTAAATGAATCTGCCCTGCTAAGACAACAAGCGAATAAACTTTAGGGTTGATAACAAAGCACCTCCTCACCTCTCCTTCTCCATGATCAGCACAAGGGTCAGGAGAGTGGGTCAAAACAAGTCAGGGTAATTTCCTGGGCTTCTGAGCCAAGGAAAACCCAACCACCCATTTCCCATACTGACAACTTTGCTGGGGGCCTTTCTCCCACGAGGTCAGGCGCATCCTAGGCCACCTGACCCTGGAGAAAGCGCCCGACCTATTCCCACTCTTGTTTCCTAGTTTCATTGAGTTCACGGCCCCCTTCCTAGCCAGACCTGGGTTTGTGCACAGGGGTGGAATTACTGAGCGATGCCGGCCAAGCTCTCCTTCATCTTCTTGGTCATGCTGGGGATGAGGTGAACGTGGTCATCCACACACTTCATCACGCAGGTCTCCAGCTGCAGCTTCACCTGCGATTCTTTGCTCCCCGAGTCCAAGGCATCCTTGGCTTTGTCGTTGCAGTGCATTGTGCAGCGAGAGAGGCGGCTCTGTGGGGGGGAAAGCAGAGAAGTGGGCACAGGGGAGCCCAGCCAGAAGGCTCCCTGCAAAGGGTATCTCGTCCTCACGCAACAGGAAGATAGATTGATTCCGGATCCCTGAAAGGAGAGGCTCCCTTGGAATTCAGGGTTGGGGGAACTTTGGGGTGAGGCCCAACCCCCCCCCCAAGGGGCAATGATGCAAGGACTCTGCTGCCAGCCCTTCATTCAGCAGGGCTGCTCCTAAGACCCCGAAGGACGCCCAGGGAAAGCAGAGCAAGGCAGGAGGGCGGCCGGGACAGCCCAGTCCAGCCTCTGCCTCTTTTTATGCCTGACAGACACCCACCCACAAACACCCCCGCCCGAACTTTGACCCCACTGACCACCAGGGGCCCACCAGCCTTTGGGCGCTCCGGCCAAAGAGGCCCGCAGAGACCCAGCGGCGGGGGAGAGCCGAGGCGAGGCCCAGCCGGGGTCCTTGGGGGAGCGGCCATCCCTTCCCGAAGCCTGGGAGGGGGGGGGTTCTGTGGGGGCCAGAGGGGCTCACCTGGAAGCGCTCCAGCTCCTGCGTGACCAGGGCCTGGGCCTGGGCCAGCGGCGCGTGGCAGCGCTCGATGCACTGGTGCACCTGCTGCATCGAGGCCCGCGGGTTCTCGCAGCACGTGGCGCTGCAGCGGAACATCAGGCCCTGCAGGCAGGGAAGGAGAGGCAGCGGCGCCCCTGTCAGGCCTCGCAAGGACGGGCAGCCGCCGCCGCCACCCCCGCGAAGACCGAGGGAGGGTAGCGCTGCGGGGCCCCGGCCAGGCCTCCCGCCCGGCTCCAGCGCCGGAGGGGCGGCCGCGTGGTTCGGCCGGCGCCCGCTCCCCCCGGAAGAGCCGCGCCCGCCGCCAACCTGCATCTTTCGGATGTGCTCCCGCTCCAGGCCCTGCACCATGCCGTCGATGGCCTCCTGAACCCGCAGCTGCTGAGCCTCCGCCATGCCGGACGGGGAGCGCAGCCGAGACCCCTCCGCCTCCTCCCCCCCCTCCGCCTTCTCCCCCCCCTCCGCCTTCTCCGAGCCGCCGCCGCTGCTGCAGAGGACGGGAGGGGCCCCCGCGCCAGCCCCGCCCCGGCTGGGGGGGAGGAAGGGGGAGTCGGCCCCGCCCCAAATGGAAGCCCCGCCCCCTCCGCAGGAGCCAGGTGATGCTTGCGGGGGGGAAAAGGTCCCCTGGGCGGGCCCCCTCCAGCAGTCATGGGGGCTGTTCCGCCTTTTGTCTGGACTGGTATAGAGTCGCCTGTTTGAGGGGGGGGTTGGACTAGAAGACCTCTAAGGTCCCCTCCAGCTCTTTCTCATTCCGATTAGCGGACGTTGACCTGTGGGGGAGGGCAGGAGAAAAGCCACAAGGGGAGGGTGGGGGTGGCGCTGCTATCAGTCCTTCTCATTAAAGTAGACTTTTCCCGTTCCTGCAACTGTCCTTCAGTAGGTTTTAGCCCACAACAGCCCCCTAATTATCTTTGCTGCTTTTCTGGCACTCTTAGGATTTGAGGGTCTTTTTTGCATTGCAATATAATCATGAATTAATGCTGATTTGTATTGTAATGTAATATCATGATTACATCACAATTATTTCATGATTATCTCATGGGATGTAATCATGAAACAGTCATGAGTCAAATCACACCAACAAAGAGTTCCCTCTTTTATTTGTGCAGAAGTTTAGCTACAGTTTGACTTTTTTGTCCTTCCCTTTGTAGCCTGTTTTCCACCTTGGTTTTATTTCTCCTTTGGCCTCCAATGGAGTTTCAGATTGCACTAGCTGGTTGATGATTGCCTAAGTGATTGTTTTGAAATGTCTAGTTTTCTTCATTGAGTCAGAGTGTGTGTAATAAATAAAGAGCTACACAATGCATAGCCCTTGTGTACCATTTGCTTACAAGTAAATCCTGCTCAGCAAACAATTTGGTGCTTGAAGGGAAGGCTGTTTGGAAGGAATGGCAATTGTAAAGCAAGCACAATCTGGAAAGGCCTCTCTTTGGGAGGTTTCCTGTAAGTTTGTCCCCTTCCTTAACCTCAGGCTGAAATCTGCAACAGTTGGCCTACCCAACCGGTCTGTTGTGAGGATTGCCTAAATCAAGCAGGAGTACTTTATAAACCTGAAGTACATGCTAAGTATTATGTCAAAGAACTTAAATTAACAGGATGGAACCTAAACTGGAAGAGAAGTCTCTTTCTTGCAAGGCTAAGGGATGGTTGCTGCTGAAAAGACACATTATGTCTTCAAAGTGCCTCTTGCAGACATTAACTCATTTATAATTCTTGCAAAATTGCCATCCTGGCCAAATACAATTTGCAGCAGCCAAGAGTTCAGAATAGATGGTAGAGTCCCCACAACTGAGCCAGTATGTGCAACGAGGGGTCAAGAGGTTCAGGAAAGCCCAGATAGACGGAGCACATGACACCCTGGAAGGAAGCTGAGGCCACATCTTGCTCTGGTTTGAGAGAGCCATTGATGGACTTTCTTTGAAGATCTTGGCCTGGTTGCCCAGCCACATTTACTTCTCCTGAATGAACAATGGCCCCACTCAGGGCCAGAGGTTGGGCTCCAGTCCAGGCAAGAGGGCCAGCGCTGAAGTCCGCATCCCTGGGGTGACAGCCAATGCGCCTCTCTCCACGCCAGTCCTCAGTGGGGCACCGTTCTTATGGAAAGTGCCCAGGTGAAGCCTTTCTGGAGCTGCTACCTGCTGAAAATCTGAAACTCACTGCTGTGTTTCCTTCTTCTAAATAGAATCTAAATAGAATCAGGGCTCTTTGTAGCCTTTTCGCAGCCTAAATAAGAAGCACAGCTCCTGAAAAATAATGACAATCATCTCCAAGTTTCTGAAAATAGATCAAGGTGAGCTCCAGCTTGATGGAACCATGTCAAGAAAATAATTGTGTTTCTTTGTTTTATCTGTCTCCATGGGTGATCTCCCCAAAGGCTGGAGAGAGAAATTCTGAAAAGTAGATGCACACTGCTGTTGTTTCTAGCTGAGATGGTGAAGAAGCTGTGAAGCTGTTAGACTAGGGCTGGGGGAGACCAGATCTGGGATCCAAGACCAGATTCTCCCCTCACCCATGGAAGCTCCCGAGAGGACTCTAGACAGTCACTCTCCCTAATCTACCTTACAGGGTTGTTGTTGGGAAAAGCAGGAGGAGGGAGCATTATATCTACCGCATAGACATCACGTATATCTCTAACTTCTGTAACATTAAGACAGGGCAAACACGCCAGTCTCTGATTGGTTCCTAGAGGGCTCTGGTTGGAAAGGAAATCAGGGTCTTCTCCCCAGGGTCCCCTGCAAGCAGCTGTCCTGGGTGATGGACCCCGGGTCTCCAGGAGGGAGGCTGCCTGCTTGCAATGGGAATGGGAGGAAAGATTTCCAACCAGGAATCCCAACTGAAAGCCGATGCCAGGCTCCCCTCCCTCAGCTTAAACTGAAGGAAGAAAGCTGCTTCAACTGTTCCACAGGTGCCTCATGAGCCCTCATGACCGTGCATGCCTGAGCAGCAAAAGCTCCCTCCTTTGGGGAGCGAAGAAAAGGGGACTGAGTGGGGCCGGCAGTGGCAGAGTGGGGAGCCCTTCTGCTCTGCCCTTGGCACAAACGGAGGATGACGGCTGCTTTTCTCAGCTCCAGCCTCCCACCACGAAGCCAAAAGCATTTCTGCAGATTTCTCTCCACCTCAACCTGCTCTGCTGGGGGTGGCAAACAACTGGAAGGCCTCTGAGGTCACTTCACCCACCTACCTAAGATGCTCCACAGGGGCTGAGAACAGGATCCTTTCTCCTGGGAAGGAATTGGGGCCAACCACCACCAAGGGGTTTCAGCAGGGGGAGCCACATACAAGGTTTTGTCCTGGAAATAAGGATTTTGGATCTGTCCCTTCAAGTATGCTGCAATGTTTTGGTTTTACTTTGGAAGCTTCCTTGGTTTCTTTGCCAGCAAGTCCTTCTGTGGCTCTGGATGTCCGACTTCTTCTGAGGTCCTTGACCAGCGCTTGACCAGAGCTTCAGGGTTTTATTTCCCATGGAATGAATGATGGGAGCCAAAACACCTGGGCTCTTTTCTTCCAAAACACAGAAAAAGCCTGCCAGCTGTGAGCCCATCTCTTGTCTCCAACCAGTTACCTCCGGGGCCACTGAAAGGCCTCCAGGGGGCCCTGAAGTCATGAAGCCCACTGACTTCCCCCGTGGTCTGTCTCAAAGGAAGACCCCGGAAGGAGACGGCAAAGAGGTCTCCAAAGCACAGTCACGAAGGCCAAGATGGAAACTGAAGCTCTGCTCATTTTTTTATGTCATAATGTGCAATTTCAATCACATCATCCAGCTGCTATTTTGATTCTTCTGAACATAGCAGGTGGACGTGGCTGTGAGAGATTCTGCTTGAAACTCAGGAAGGCCAACTGTGATGCTCCTTGGATAGAAAATCATTGTTGGCTGCCATGTCTGAAATGAACAGGGAGGGTCAAAAAAAGACAAGATGGTGGGTGCAACTACACTATCGGAGCCCCCTCCCCTTTTTACATGCACTATACAAAGACTAGAGCTGAAGGCGGTTTCAAAGCTCTGTTAAGTCTGAAGGCTGCCCCGTTGGGAGCCTCCATAAAATCCAAGCCTCTGGGAAAGCAAGGGCCAATGTTTTGCCTTGACTGAAATAATCTTGTCCCAATCATTTCAGGAGGATGGCAGGCACAGGGCCACCCGGGGGCTTCCCAAGGAAAGCAGAGGGCAGAGGACTGCAGGACTGGAGCCACTCAAGGCTCAGCAAAAAGCCACTACGTGTTCCATCATCCGAGCAGGCCTTCATCTCTGTTCCAAGGAGACCAAAACATCTCTGCCTCTTGAGTGCTTTATTGTACACTTCTGGATTTTTGGATTTCTTCTACTGCTGCATAATTTTTCTCTCCCACCCAGTGGTGAAATTCAATTTTTTTACTACCGATTCTGTGGGCATGGCTTGGTGGGCATGGCAGGGGAAGGATATTGCAAAATCCTCATTCCCTTCCCACTCTGGGGCCAGCCAGAGGTGGCATTTGCGGGTTCTCCAAGCTACTCAAAATTTCCGCTACCAGCTCTCCAGAACCTGTCAGAACCTGTTGAATTTCACCCCCGCTCCCACCCCACTAGGGTAGGAAGACCACCACCACCAACCATGTGAGGAATGTGTGCAATAATAAATGACAGCAGTGAATGGAGGAAGAAAATAGCTTTGAAACGCAAGGGAGAAGAGGCCACCAGAATAACGGCCGAATAGCCCCTCACCCAAAGGAGGAGGCCCGACCCTCGGAGGCCCGGTTCTGGTTACCCGCAGTCTTCTCTGTGGGCCTCCGTGAGTCTTTAGACAATGCTCTAAAATTAAGGGCCATGAAGTCATTGCAAGAGCATCCTGCAGATTCCCACGGGGCTTCCGTGTGCTTTCAGGGCTCCTGCTGGGAGACTTTGGCTAGCTGCCAGTCCTTATATGGCCGGGTATTGGGACTCAGCCTGGAGGGAGTGGGCTGGGAGGGCCTCTGGGACCACTGCCACTTATAATACCTGTGGATGCATTGCATATTCAGTAGCTGTATCACTGATTTACGTCCATTTCTTTAATGACCATCCCTGCGGTCATATGATCAAAATCAGGTGCTTGGCAACTGGCAGTTACATTGGCTGCAGCGTTCTGGGGAAATGTGATCAGCATTTGTGACTTCTGGATTCTCACAAGCTGTATCCACGAGGGAAGCCAGATTTGCCTAACAACCACAGGGTTCACTTGACCATTGTGGCAAAAAGGTTGTAAAAACAGGTACAACTGACTTAAGAACTGCATCGCTTAGCAATGGAAGTTTCATTCTCGATTCTGCTTGTAAGCCAAGGGCTATTTATATTAATCGGTGATCACTACACTGTGTGTCCAAAACTTTACCTTGGGGGAGGGTGTGCTTTATAGGAAACTGGTGTTGGATATATCATGATGTCTGTAAATTGAAGGAAACTGGGGCTCCAATCTTACAATCTTCTAACCCAGAGT